AAACGAGAGAGAGAGAGAGAGAGAGAGAGAGAGAGAGAGAGAGAGAGAGAGAGAATGGAAAAGAAACAAAGAAAACTCCAAAGTTTTCACTGAATCCTCTTCTATGATCTTTTCTATTTGTGTGTGGTGTCTGCACCTGTTTTGTTCTATTTGCTCATGCACATGTGGAGGCCGGAGAAGCAGGTGTCCTGCTCTCTCATGCTCTACCTTACTCCCTTGAGACAGGGTCTCTCACTGAACCTGGAACTAGGCTGGAGGCCAGCAAACCCTAGTGTTCCTCCGGTCTCTGTGTCCGCCCCCCCCCCCCCCCCCCCCCCCCCCCCCCGCCACGATCAGTTTATGCAGTGCTGGGGATGGAACCCAAGGTCTCATGTGTGCTAGGTAAGCACTCTACCAACTGAACCACATCCTAGCCCTTGAGCCTTTAACGTAAGGCTGCTGCTTGACAGTGAGTATAATAGGGTCATTGTAGACAGCTGCCTTCAGGAAGGCCTCAGGCTATGCAGTGTCCCCTCCTACCTGGCTGTGTGTACCTGGGTTTGAGGTCAAGGTGCTATTAACTTTTCGGGATGCAACAGCAGGTGCTGCACTTCCTGCCTTGGAATCTAATTATAAACGCAGCACCTGTACAGGGGACATGCTCTTGGGCAGACCCGATATTCTTTGCTTCTCTCAACACAAGAAATGGCTACAAAGGTTTCTACATCTATATGAAATCACCTGAACTCAGGTGAGTTCTCCCTTGAACTCAATGGCTCTTGTATGATCCACACAAAAAATAAAATAATTTTTCTTTTGGAGTTGAGGGCAAAGGGAGGGGGACTTTCTAGTGCTAAGGAACTAAAATATTTCCATGGACAGGCAAGATTGAAGGAACCTGCCGGTTTCCCTTATTTCCTTGGCTGCAAGGATGCTCAGATAAGTTTCACAATCCATCAGAAGAAATGAACTGGCCTAGATCTGGAAGGTGTGTTTTCTTTTCCTGCTATAGCACATGTGATTTTTCTATTCATATTTTAGCAGCTGAGCTGTTGAAGCTCTTTTGGCCCAATGTCTCCTCAGATCTTTTATAAAACTGAGACAGGCTTCCAACAGGCTTAGAGTCTGTCTACCGACCTGTCGCCAGGAGGATAAAACGGGCCCGGAGAAGCCAGGCTCTGTGAGAAGTTGCAAGAGGCCCAGAAACACAAAGCCTTGTGATTTCTATACTGGCATCTCTTCTTGGTAGGAAGAGAGTAGAGCCTCTGCAAACTGTGCTGGAAAAGTCGGTGGGCATCTGATCCCAGGCTGGGGGTTGGGGGTTACCTGCAGGAGCTGGCCGAAGAAGAAACTGGCTCTGGAGAGGCGGGGACTGACCCGAGGGTCGCTGGTTGAAAGAGGCTCTTCGGGCTGCAGGGTGTTCTGAAATGAGTTTATCAATCAACCTGGCTGAGCAGAGGCTTCTGCATATAATGCTACTGGAGAGACATCACCTGTCCCCAGGTTCCCTGCAGCTGGGGCTGGGGGAGGCGACTGCCAAAACAGAGGCGAGAGTGGGAAGAGCTGAGTTCCTGAGTCCCCCCACCCCCACCAAGCTGCAGCTTGGAAGGGTTCTCAGGGACAGGAATGGGGGTCTTTGTGGGAGATGCCCTTTCCAGGAGCCAACCCCCTGCAAGGTATCTTGGCAATGGCATAACCAGATTCTGCTTGTTAGCTCAGGGGAGGAAAGGGGAGACTGGCAAGGTCCCTGTTCCCAGCACCCACTGGCTCCAGCGGACTTACCCGGAGGGTGCGCAGTGTGTGGTGGGTGCCATCTGCTTCTTCCCGATTGCCCCTGTGCATCAATCGCTGTAGTTTCACAAGGAGAAGCTGTTGAGCCCTGGGAGGGGACATGGGACAGCATCAGGGCTAGAACAGGACAGGGTATATGATTGCAAGATGCTGGGACTGAGGGCCCCATTGAATTGGGATCCAGCCTCCTGCAGACCAACTATGGGGCCACATCCTCTGCACCCTAGTTTTTTCATCTGAGTATCGGGCTGACTGAGACCCACTACCCAGTACTGCAACCCAGAGTGCAGGCTCAGAAAAGCAGGAGTCACTGTGCAGAAGTACAGACACATGATGTGTCTCCTGACACTTGCTGAGGTTCAGACCTTGGGCAGCTGCCCAAGGAAGATAAAAACAAATGACTAAAGGGCTGGGGCATGGTTCAGAGACAGAGGGACTGTCTAGCATGTACAAGGCTCTGGGTTCCAGACCCAGGACAACAGAAGGAAAAGAAACAGCCAGGCTGAATGGGGCAGGCCTATCATCCCAGCTCCTAGGGGATAGACAGGGATGAGGGCAGAAGGATTGCAAGTTCAAAGCAAGCTGGCACAACTTGGCCAAACTCTGTCTCAAAAAGTAAAGAAGGCTGGGAATGTGGCTCAGTGGTAGAGCGCCTCTGCCTCCCAAGTGCTGGGATTAAAGGTGTGCGCCACCATGCCCGGCACATTTTTAAATTTTTACTTTTGAGACAGGGTCTTAAGAAGTCCAGGCTGGCCTCAAACTCACTATGTAACCAAGGATGGTCTTGAACTCCTGATCCTCCACTGGAGCCTCCACCTCCTG